CGTCATTTTCTGCACGCTTATCATCTGAAGCAACCGCCAAAAGAGGTCGATGTATTCGTGATCGACTCCACTCCACGCTTCCACATCTTGTATAGAATGCCTAAAAATCATCAACCTTCAACCAGAAAGAATACTATGGAAAAATGGCGGGGAGATCGCGAATCACATATTTTCTCGTAGGATTGAAAGCATGCCTAATTTGGAAAGAACTATCCGTCTAAGAAAACTACAAATATACACCAAAAAATTGAGCGTCGAACATTTATAGAATTGGTTCAGCCTAACTGCCACTCACAATCAGACATCAAATCTATCCTCGAGAAAATTTCAGCCCGAAGATTTTTGAAGCCATCACCAAAAATTTCTCTAAGAAAGGTAGAGAGATGGGCTCGTATGCCAACATTCGAAAATGAAAAATCCTTTGAAGAAGAGCTTTTGGAAAAGGAAACCATGCTAACAAAGAATGCATGTTCTTAGCAGGGATCTCCCTAAAAGCGAGATATGCACAGGCTTCAAATTATTTCTCAGTAGTACTTCTATTTCTTCGTGCTTCTAAATCTTATTTCCAAAGGAACTGAATGCGGTCCGTGGACCAAGCGTGAATTCACTAGAACCTGAGTGGATCAAAATGTACCTGAAGTTCATGGCACAGAGACCATCTGGACAGGTCCATCACATCTGCAGCTTCATAAATACGAACAACACCTTGCGCAGATACCGTCGCCTAAGCGTAAAATAAAATTTTCTATGATAAATTGTAAACAAAGACACACCCTATTATAATAGAAATTGATAAATTCATCTTTCCAGTTTGCATAAGCATGATTCCCCTCAAGATTCCTACTTAAAAAGTCGCCACTCACCAACATGAGACCAAGGTGTCGTGGTGCAAAGGCGATGTCTGTTACATTCGCTCGACTATCAGTCAAATAGGCCTTCCGAACCCAGCGTGCTCCCTTTCGACCTTCTAAAAACAAAATATTCGGTGAGAAAATGAAAAGTCTTCAAAATTCTCGATCATTTTGCCTTTTCTTGACTTCGACGCTTTCTTGAAAATATATCGCTGACCTTTCATCTCCATAAAAGAGCGGAATAGAAAAGTACTACCTCAACATAATTCTAGAAACCCTAACCTGCACCGGGACCACTTCGAATCTCCTCCCAAATGTGAACACTGCGATCATAAGAGCATGTGGCAAGCAGTTGTCCAAACTCAGGATGGGCCCAGACAACACGCCATACAGCACCTCCATGGACCTGAAAAGGGAACCTTGCGCTTAATCGAGGAAATTTAGGGAAGATTGAATTAAACAAGGTGACAATAATTCTTGAGATAGAAATTTGAGACATTGGTGCTTCGATAACCTATCTTGTGTCATCCAGTAAGGACGAAGATGAGAAAATCACCAGGGTATGTGATCCGATGAGCTTCAGCTTTTACAAACACTCCAGAGTTTCTATCCTTTGACAAAAACTGGACTACAGTATGCGGTAGAACTGCTGCACCCATCCCCCTTACTGTAAGTAACCCCTTTTCCTCCATACATGATTGTTCCGTGCCTGAACTTACTCAGTTCAATTACATACCTTCCATTCTAGCAATTACTGCAACTTACTTTAATTACTGTAACCAAGAACAACGTCTCACCTTCCAACTTGCCGCCTTCGTCCAAGTTCCATCAGACCCTCGATCCCATACTGACAATGTCATATCACTAGAGCAAGTGGCCAAGCGTCGACCATGGTGATCAAATGCAACCTAAATATGAAGATCGGGATAATTTGCAGCACACATCATCCTGACAATCGTATAAGTCTCAGTGACGACATTTACCACCATTTACACCGAGAAACAGTAAAAGTGTCCGGCAGCGCGAGTTCGCAGCTCTCAGCGCTCATCTTTAACACACCCTTTTCTGTCGAGACTGCGGATACCAAACAGGAATTGATCAAAAAACTGCCAATGGCTCATTTTAACTGCCTCATCCTAAATTTTCGTCCCATATTTGGCGTGGCTGAACTTAAGCGAGCTTCTGCACTACTCGTGCCAAAAAACGAACACCGGCCCCATAACCCATTGTCGCCGCTTATTGAGCACTCTGCTAAATTATATTCGACGGGGTAAACTGTTGTATCAATTACCTCTCTTGAGAACAGATTGTGAACCAACCTGGTGAATAAGATCCCTATGAGACACATCAAAATCGAATGGTTTTGTCCGGTCATCCATTTCGCTTGAGGTGAAGTCCATAATTCACCTGTTATTCGTTTTCATTAGGTTCAATCCTCCCTAGCTGAACACCTTGCCGACAAACACGGTTGGCAAAGAGACTTCACCTCGACACAAAAAAGTAGATGGTGACGAAAAAATTTTTAAATGTTGCACTTGCAATCACGAAGCACGATATGTGCAGCGGAGCAGCACGAGATAGTAGGCCCAATACCGATACCGAAAGGGCGCCAAGTTAACTCGACGATTAGAGTGAAACCGCAACCTGAGTTTTTCCGCTTTCCAGGAAAGATCTGAAGTGAAATGAGTTCAAATAAAAGTAGGGTCTATTTTTTAGTGAGAGAGGACCATGGGAGCGGACAGGTCGCTTTGCAGCGAAGCCAGTTAACCTCAATTTTGCGGGAAGACGATACCAAGCGGGCTTCCCCGTTAGTTTATGGTTCCCCTAACAGCGATGAGGTATACCATCTTGGATAAGGCGTGCTTCGCCCCGAAAGCTCTCTCAGTAATGGCGTTTTTTTCTTATGACTCCGAAACCCATGCTTTAAAGATTCTTTTATATACGGAGTTAACGAGCAAATTACCAAAAAGTTATGGTTGCGGAGCGCGATGTTAGCGCAAGGTGCAGCTCCATTCACCGACGGATGGTCGCAGTTGCATAATAGTATCACATTCAGCATCGAAACAGACATTCAGAGGACACAATTGCAAACAACACGGCCGGTCTACAGCTCTGCAAGCTTTTGCCGACTCTTACAGTTAGTGGAGGGTCCTGCATAAACATGCGACACGTCTCACTGACCCAAAAAAAAAGTGTCCACATTCTTGATTGAACATCCTGCAGGCCGGTTTGACACCACATATGCATTCACAACCGATATCAATACGGACGCACCTGCATGGACAAGGAGCTGAAGCATGCTTCATTACAATCATTACTTTGGACGATTGTAAACGAAAGGTGGTGTAGCGGGCAGAGGCTGCCTACCATGCACCAGGATCAAATTTTGGGTACAGGCAAACCGAGCTTTCTGTTCCTTCGCAGCCAATTTGCTGGTACAATATTTGTCTTTGAGGATAAAAATATAACGTTCGTCAGCTGGCCCTCCGTAAGGTAAAACTTGTAGGATTAGAAGCGCACAATGGATCCTCTTCTCAATATCTGACAATGAGGGAAGGTAGAATAGTAAGGCGCATTCCTAAGGCTGGATGTCAGACTTTATGCGAATCGTGCGAATCGCTGGCGTCTGCGGTCGCGTCGCGGCCAGTGAATCACTCAATTGGTCGGATACCAGGGTGAATATCGCTTGAGGATTCCATCAACGGCACGTCGAGGATTCTCTGCCCGATCAGAGACGATCTCTCGCGCGGACATTCACACTCGCCATGCCGTGCCGTCTGTGCTCTCCGCGCGGATGTTCACTCTCGGCACTACTCTCGCATGGTAGAGAGCTATGGTCGAGGATTTCCTCGACCGTTATTCACCCTGCTTTCCTGGCACCGCAATCGCACGCGGACGCTAGCGAATCGCGCGATCGCCGAAAGTATGACATTGCCTCTGGTGCCAAAATAGTTTTGAGAAGCGCAAGACTGCATTATTCTTTAACCCTTCTATTATTCGGGATATAAGACGAGAACAAAAGATAGAGTATACACTACATACCTAGATCGGTGATAAAAATTTACAATGAGGATGCTGAACTTGGAAACAAAAATTCGAAGAAGAAAACCCGGACAATGTTCCCCAGGCACCTCCACAATATTTTGGATTCTGTCATCACAAAGGCTTCGTTATTTTCTGAGTGTTTCCTCGCTGATCAAAAGGGAACCCCCGCTGATCAACAGGACCCTAGATTTGCATCCCGTCGGCAATACGATCTATCCTTTCCTCCCATTTTTCCGGTAGGCGATGGTGGATTAGTCGTAGAACCCGGTCCAACGTCAATTCAATCCCTGCTTTAAAAATCCATTCAAAGTCGACATAGCAGAGGGGCTTTTTATATGTGACTACCAAAACAGCAAAATATACATTTCACGCTGCTATTTACCCTCAGTGCCTAATCTACTGCATCCCGCTCTCATCCCCTCCCCTCCCCCTCTCCGGCACCCTGCTCCGATATACTACGCGTGTGCATCTATACCATCACCACGCACCAGGACTGTCTGCTCGGAAAATTGACAAAACTGGGCGAATTAGAGAATTAATCGGATATGAATGTATGGGTGTCGACAAGGAGGAGGGTGGGGTCCCGCTTCCTGAACTTCGAATGGGCAGACTCGAACAATCACTTCGTTCAACGCCTTTTGCGACCGCTTTAATTTCTAACTAACCTCCCCTTCAAAAAGCGAGAAAGTGTCGGGTGCCAGAACAAACACCACAACTGACGACGGCCTCCGAGTAATTTGGTTAGAAGTTGTTCATGGTGATAGCTGATTACTGGTAAGGGCTAAACCGGATTCGGGGGGCCACGCGATGGCACGGCGCTCTGTCCGTCTTCTCCTCCAAGGCTTAGTCCACGTAGGACTCAGTAGGGGCGTCTCGTGGCTCCATGGATTGTACTCGCTCACGGACGGCGTGCGGATGCGGAGCGGCGTGCAGGTGACGTCATTTGACGTCACAGCAGCGGGGAGGGATTGGGCAAGACAGGCGCCATTACTATAACATTACGTATTAGACGCTATCGACTCTAACTTCACTGTGCAGTGAGTAGAAGTAATATCGAAGAATGGTCTTAATGTAATCAACTCCGACTTAGTTGCGCACTCGACTTGGCCGTATTTAAATACGAATCCGTTCATTTCCTCTAAATTCGCAAAACAATTCCTAATTTTCGACGGCGAAAATTATACCTACACACAATACAACTTCTTTGCTCACGGCACTACTGACTGCACAAACTAGTGCGTGCCAGCAACCCTTCTATCATTCAAGCGAAGTGGCAGCAACGTTCCATCTCGCCCTCTCGTCGCGTTTTTGTGGGAGCAGCACGCGCTCGCGTCCGCGTCGCAGTGTGAAACTTTTTTCTCTCCCCCCGGGTCCGGTTCGCCATTAGCGTAGCAGGCTTTCAAAAATACGCGCACATTAGGACTAAGCTTGCGTAGAGACAGAACGAAAAACCAGCACCGCCCATCGGTGCCCCCAAACGAACCGAGTTTCGATTTTAGTGACAATCGATAGAATACAACTGCAACAGGCTAATCATTTCAGTGGCAGAAAACATTAACATTTTGTGAAAGCCGTCGTCACTTGTGGTGCATGATCGTGCACCCGACACTTTCTCGCTTTTTGAAGGGGAGGGTACATTTTCAGCAATGCAGACGGTCGTTACGTAACTGCAACTAGTTTAATTGCAGATGCGCAGCAACCTCGAACCTGTAGCACGTGCGTATTTTTTGTTTGTGTTACTTTTTGAGCCGGTCGTCACTTGCGGTGTATGGTCTGCACCCAACACTTTCCCGCTTTTCGAAAGGGAGGGTAGTAAGGGGCGCTGCTTACGAGCGAGATCTGGGGACAAAATCTGGGTTGCTTGCCTTTTAGGCCAATCAAGCCTTCCCTTCCTCCACGGTGAATTAGTTGGTCCCAGACTTCTCTGTGAGTATAAAAACACTGATTAGTTCATCGCCTGGCCTCAGGAAGTCATGAGTATCGCCCAAAGGGAATGTGACTTTGGCACAAGATAGACATGCTCGGATTCAAGGAGGGCGTGGCCTGAATCATTTTAAAAACGGCGCGCGAGTAGAAGACGCGTACAGCTACAACACCTTGACAAGCAAACTTCTCATCAGGTATCTCTCAAAGCACGACATATTGGAATTGCTCCAAAATCAAGATTGCTGGACTTGAGCTCATCTAGGCTTTTTTGGATTTCTGTTTTGAACCAATGCAATTTATCGAGGCTTGGAGAACAATGCACAGAATTACGTGGAAAATAGGGGAACCGGTTTCGCTCTAGATTACAAAGAATACTGAATTCAACACCAGTTACTGTTTGCTACTTGAGAGGCTCACGTAATCACACATCGACCCATCAAAAAAATTCAGCCTTCGCCGCTTGCAGGCTGCGCCGTGCATCCCACTTCTACTCAGAATACTAACTGAAAACTCTGAACATAAGCTGAGGTATCTTGATCGCTGCAGTCTTCAATGTCTTCCCTACGTCCCCCCCCCCCCCCTCCAAAGGCCACAATACACCAACAATGACCACTAGGTTTCCATACGGAACAACATTATTACTGTTATAAAATTGTTCTTCTAGCTCGCCCTTTTCTGAGAATATACAAACAACCAGACAAACAAAAACACGCACAAATAGGCAAAAACGAAATAATCTGGACCCATAATCTGATTTGCGAAAACCTAGCAAATTTCAGCGACTAGTTCTCTATTCTGATCTAATAAGTCGTGGCTAATCGAGTCAGCAAACTCAGTCGGCCATGGCCAGACTGGATTCAGATATTCACAGACGGAAACTTGCGAACAATAATAAACCAACACAAACACGACTCACTAGTTTATATAAAAGCTTATCTTTCTTCTTCAAAACTCCAATATTTTTTTTCATACAAAAAGCTAGTTTGCACTTCATTCCGCTCCTTTATGAAAATTCACATTCCACAATTGGGAACGGAACGCGCACATTCCTCCGTGAGTGAGGCAAACAAGCCTACAAGCCCAGATGCTGGACCAATTTCACGGCTCATACCTGCGCAAGAATGGCGCTGGTCAGGAGAGGGGTTGTCCACAGCGCCAACCTGTGCGCGGCCTCCACCCTAGAACGGATCCAAAAGGCCTGGGCTCATGTCTCAATTTGTCATCACAAGGTTTAAAAATGCTCAGAGCCACAGCAAACTGCGGCTTTGATTGATCACTTCTGCTGTTTGCTTCATTTTTTCACCACCTATCAGTTAGTTAGCAGCTACAAAGTTCTTATCTATAACATAACCCAAGACCAAAAGTGGTGTGGGTCTTGCTCACAAAAATTGATGTCACGTGGCCGGCACTAAAAAAGGAAAAGAATCCTTCGAGATGGCTACAGCTATGGGCTTATTCGCTTTTGCGCTATGGCAATGAGAGACTGATGGGAGAGAGGGGACTGGCGAGAGAGTACAACGGACGAGAGAGCGCAGACATCAACAGGCTGTGGACGAAGAAAATGGAACGGATCAGGAGCAGTCTTTGTAATGCTCTAGCGCCCCTGCTAATGCTCATTAGAACAGGGAGTGAACAGGTCTATCTCCCCCACCAAAAATTTGATCTACCTAAACTTATCGTTGATTACGCCTTCAAACACCATAATCCACACATGTTATCGATTGTGCTCTCAAAATAGACATTGGTCTGGCACGCGGATAATCGATAATCTCTCACAAGCATGCACTTAGGAGACGGTCTGAAGTGTAAAACAGCCTCTTCATTACACTGATATGATTTTATGATATAATATGTTAAAATGAAATGGAATGGCACCATCAGTCGTTTTCACAGAAGATTGCGTCTCTAACCACGCTACGACGTGAAATCTCAACCGTTGGTAGTCGACTCAGTTCCCAAGTGAAAACGACTTTGTAATTTTTGGTTTCTTATCACAGATATGTCACATCGAAAGTCTCTGAAGATGATAAAAAATCAATAAATCGAAAAATAAATTTGAAGACAAATTTCCAAATACACGTATCACTTGAAGTAAATGATCAGGAACGTTATGAGAATCGCAATGACAACGGCACCCGTGATGAGTAGGCAGATCTTCTTCTGAAATACCGTAAATCCAAGAACCGAAACTTTCTCTTCTCTCGTAGCGATTTTTGACGCACATTTGGTTAAATCACATTTAAAGCAACAATTAATTTAGACAAGTAAAGCTGAACGGGACCACAGAAAGCGACAGATTAAGGCGACATTTAGTACATTAAAACATTTATTTCTCGCATTCAAAAATTGATCCGAAAACGAGATCTTGTTGGTGATGGATGAACGGGGATGAGATGTGTGCAGAAAAAACGAGATTCCATAGATAAGGAATAATTAAGAGAACTAGATAAATACGAACCTTGAACTTATCAACAAAAAACACGTTTCTACGTCAGCGCAAAGAAACAAATTCATATATATCAGTGCTCTACTAAATTTGAGACTAGTAGAATCACCCCATGAAAAATCAGCAGCTTTTCAGTTCTCAAGCTTTTAATGTGTTCAAAGCTGTTACGTCACGAGGCATTTAAACCGATTAGAAACGGCAGTGACAGACTCGAGACATTGATACTACAGTTCATTTTCACCGGTCGGTCATACGTGAGACAGCCATCCCAAGACGCGCGCGGTCGCGGTGCGGCCAATACGCCAGAGGCGGTCAATCAACGCTAACCACAGAACTATGAAAAAAATTGATAAGGATCCTACGCCTGTACACAAATTTGGCGATGACGCCGCACCGCGACCGCTCGCGACGCAGACCTGGAGCTCACGCTCGACCTTGCGGGAAGTGTCCACTATGCAGCATCACTATGTATGTCTCGATTCCACTATTCGTTATTTTAACCGCTACCTAGCCAGCAGTCACTCCAAAACTAGCCGTCCAAGAGAACGACATATTATTAATAAACACAAACAAAAACCAGTACATAACATCTTAAACAGCCATAGCGATAAATACTGTCAGTAGAAGCGAAAACATAGGTGAAATACGGAACAAGACGTGTTTGCCATAGATATTGCTTCGGAATGACACCAATAATCAGCAGAACATACAAAAAAGAAATCACATAAATATCGAAGACAAATAAACAAACAGTGGAAACACAGGCAGAACAATTTTTTATATGTATGTCCGAAGATATTACTTGGTCCACATACCATACTTATTCACATGTTGTTCATTCAGGCTAGTGATATATGTTGCTGGTTGATTTCTTTTCGTTTGAGGGGGTATGGTGGGACACATGAATCGATCGAACAGATCACGGCGACGCACCGCATGGGACCATGCGAGCGTTTATCTCAGCAACAAGCAGGATATCAAGTGTTCGGCACAAAAACGAAAGGAAACACATGGTGACCAGACGATGGCGGCGGTGGCGTTGTGTTTGTGTGTACATGTGTTTTATATTCCAGGAATAAAACTCATAATAATTAGCGCTGCGATGGCTATGAGGATGACGACAATGATGAGTATTATGATCTTCTTCTGAAAATTCACACTTGTTTCATGGTGTACAGACTCGAATAGTGCGCGTAATAGCGATGCAGTGCAAAATATAGGTATTGATTCGCGGCGCGAAAAGATCAATGCGCGGATTCAAATATACGTATTGATCTTGTCGCATCGTAAATCAATACCCATCCTTTGCCACGTGGTCCTATCGAGGAAATGTAAATGCTGCAAGGTGTCCAACATTGTTTCGGACGATTTTCCGATGGGTGCAATTCAAAACTCAACCACTAATTATCACAAGCATGCAAGCGCTACGTACGTGCGTATGGCCATGTCATACTTTGCGAATCAACAGATCGCTACTAGCGAACCGCTAGATTCGCAAAGTTTGGCACCGCCTATGATCGTGTACGTCCAAATAATAAAAAAAAATCTGGGTCCGCGTTACGATGCGATCGTGGTGAAGAATATTTTCATGAAATTCCATGATTTCACTTGCACTCCGTATCGACATCCAATTGCGATGCAGGCGCGATTTCATACGCGATGCCCGGCCAAGGTAAAACAGACTGTATGCGTGATCGCAACCCCACGCTTTACCATGTGTTGGCATTTGGCAGAATTAACGGACCTCTACTAGTGTGGAATTTTCGAGCACTTGACAAAAAGCT